TTAGAGATTGTAAAATATTTCAGCAGCAATTGTGCCCCCTACTGGTAAGATTCTATAAAAATGCAGTACTACATACAAGCTTGCAGGGAAAATTGAATTAGAACTAAGCCACTGTGAAAGTCTTGCATACTTGTACACGTTCATAAAACTGCTGTTTCTTATGAGGGGCTGTTTAGACCATAATTCAAACTTTACCTCTCATACACACACAAATTGCTCTCGCATACACACAAGAAAGATAGATAAGACTTTATTGATCCCAAAGGGAAATTGTGGAAAAAAAGATTTACCTCTCACATACACACAAAAAGCTCCCATATTCACTAGTTTTACCTCTATACACTCATTGCAGGCGTCATAGCCGATGACAATGAAGCTATTGCTTCTGGTGTGGCTAAGATGTTATTAATTAAAGCTACGGCTTGGCTTAGTGCTTGTTGCGGTTGAGGTTGATTTCTTTCCTCCATCTTGGAGCGCAGCAGAAAATGAGAAAGCTTGTTGATTACTTTTCTCAGCCAATCACATTGTGCCATTTAGACAGAACGCATACATTGGGCCATAATTCACCTCTCACATTCTCCATTTTACACCTCTTACATACACATAAAATGCATTCACATTCACTAATTTTGCCTCTCACTTTCACATCATGAAGGAGTGTTTTATATGCGAGGTAAAACTAGTGAATGTGCGAGCATTTTGTGTGTATGTGAGAGGTAAAACGGAGAGTGTGAGAGCATTTTGTGTGTATGTGAGAGCAATTTGTGTGTGTATGATAGGTAAAGTTTGAATAATGGCCTAAACGGCACCTCATAGTTTCCAACCAATTTAAAACATACAAATGTTGAAATCTGCATTCACTCAAGGGACATGTCTTCTATCAACTTCTCTTTTTCAATACAAGGAAGATTCAAACCTATTCACTGAATTTACTGCGATTAATTCATGGAATCATTAGTAGTAGAAAGATACAATATAATCCTCTTAGGAAACAGCAGAAGAGCCATTTTTCCCTTCAAAGAGGATGGACATTTCAGAGAATGGATACATAATTACTGTTCATTGTCTGTTGTTTACTCTCTCATCTCAACTCAAACTCAACCGAGAAATTTTTGTGCCAGCAGGGGGCATTTCTACAGCTGGTATAAATCAGATAATAAACTCGCTTGTAAAGGGCATGGCAATCTGGAAGAAAGTATACAAAGTACATAACACTTTTTTTCTTGAATGATCATTTATTGTAAGTTGGTCATTCCGATTAAAGCAATCCTATTATCATTGAAATAGTCTTGCATATCTAGGCATTGTTTCTGGATTGAAACGACAATTTGAAAAAATGAACTTGCTTGCTCAAAGAAATATCTTTGTTGGCAGATATACAACAAAGGCATGTATATCTGCAAAATATCGGTAAACAGACACTGCTCAATCATCATCTCCATGAAACTGATGTATTCCTTCTCTGCATAATATTCTGAATTGCAACATTACTTGTATATTGTTTCTTCGACTTTAATTTTTTTCCATTTTGGACATCTCTTGTTTAATTTTTTTATGGATCAAAACTCAATTCAGCACACACCACTGGAAAGCAGAGGAGAAATTCACTGAAACCTGGTTTTTCGATAAAGATGGTCCAACAAATGTTAACTGTAAACAATAATGTGCCCAACTTGTTTTGCTAATATCAAAAGACTCAGGACACTTCCTGCTATTTTACTGGAGTACATTTTTCTTTCAAAGAACAGGAAGGGAACCAAATGTTTCCCACAGTCCTGGAAAGAGCAGATCCCAATGCATTTCCAGACAATTTGTATGTCTCAATTGAGCCTGCAATAGAAGAAAATCTAAAGCCATTGTGAGAAAAGCTTTATACTTCAGTACTTAAGTCTCTTAATTACAATTTGGGAAACAAGGACCTTTTTGAAAACTTGTGTGTGGGTATGTCTAGACGTTAAACTGAGGTCCTGTCTACTTGTTTTCTAAAGATCCCAAGACACTATAATAGTTTTAAGTTCCTCCTTAATTTGACTGTTGAAGAAAATTCTCACTTCTCTACCTGATCTGATGTGTCGTGTGGCTGCTGACAGGTGACCCACGAGGACGAAGTGAGTCCTTCTTATAATAATGCATTTTGTGATCTTCTGGATGAAAAAGTACTATATGAACACAAGGGATTACTATTAACTACTCTTATTATTGTGCAACACAATGGTGCAGTGGTTAGCATTGCTGTCTTGCAGAGCTGGGGCCCTGGTTTAAATTCCAGACCTGGGGTGCTATCTGTGTAGACTTGGCATGTTCTCCCTGTGTTTAGGAGTTTTTTTTTCTCCAGGTGCTCTGTGTATCTCCCACAGCCCAAAGATAAACCGGTAGGTTTTGGCGTCTGGTAAAATTGCCTCTGGTGTGAGTGTGTAAGTGTCTGTGCGCCTGCACTGCCATGGACTGGTGTGATGTCCAGTGTTAGAAAATGGAAACTGAATCATCATCATAATATAATAATAAAATAATAATAACAATAACAATAATAATAATAATTTATTGTGGACTATTATGTGATGTGTAAACTGAACCCTGGATGCAGCTCTAGCTGCAGTTTTTTAACTTTAATATTAGTATGTGTAAAAGGAACAGGTGTAAGTGGTAGAAATCAATATTCATATGGACATTTCACAACGCATTATACCACAGTTTGGGTGATTTTCATTTATTCCTGTCCAACACGTGGACTCAGACTGACCATGCTAAAAGCCACTGTCATACACCACTCTAACCTAACGTAATTCTAAAACAATTGCTCATAGCATGGCTAGAATTTCCTTGTTTTGTCCTCCTTCAGTTCACAGACTTCCTGCACAATTACGGTAGTACTTGTTCCGTTCTCAGCGCAAGTACCAGAGGATTAATCTATACAACATTACAGCATTTCCTATATATTACAGGCACCCACCAAAGTGACTATCTGGAGACTGCTTTCTGAAACAAATCATTACAAAGATCTGAAGCATAACATTATGGAATTAACACCTTTTTAAGGTTTAACACGAAGGGAAAGCCTTATGGGGATTATGAATATAAGAAGCCCTTTCAGTCTTAGATTCTTCACCGATTGCTCATTACAAGCACACCCTCGATTATTAAACACAGTGCATGTGAATTATTTGCCGAATAAATGTCATTTATTTGTGTTTTCTGTTGAAAGATTCTTTAGCACAGAGACATATAGCTTTTTCGGACTGTGCTTCTAAAACCGGATGGGAGCCATGAAAGCAGGTCTGATACACCTCTCGCAGTCACTTTGGAGGAAAGTGCTGACAGCGGTGCTGTCTGGAGTCGCAGTGCTGTGGGATAGTTCCAGGCTGGATTCAGCCATGCCCCAGTCCTAGCCTTTGGTGTGACCTTACTGGATTTTTTCACAGACATTTTTTTTTTGCCCAGTCTGGGAAAGATGAAGTGATCTGGCACAGAGTAGCTGTTTTTTCCTCTCGGAGATGTGTGCACTTATCTTGATCATTTCACAAAGGCCAAACTGTTTACATTTTAGGCTACTGTTAAGGCTGCAGCATTATTAAACAAACTGCAGTTCCTTCAGTGGGACATTCTTTTCGAAGAATTAAGTGGCAGGTAATGCAATTTCCCCAAAGAACAGAGATAGCCAACACTGCAGTGAATACGTTTGTCTATGGTTTATACTGTGTATATACCATGGTTTATGGTAAAAAAAAACACATAATATTGGAGTCTAGGGATATACATCCAAATTCTAGGCATTTATGTTCCTAAATTCTGTAATAATTCAGAAACACTTCCAAGTTGAAACATAGAATTGTTCTCCATTTTCTTGTCATATGGCAAGAAATAATGCAATATTAAATTCACAAAGAAAATATCTGAAAGCTTGCTGTAACATACTCCTTCATTTTTATAGCTATTTATTTACCTGCATTTGCTAACCTAAGCACTGCTGACTACCACAATACATTTTAGAGCAAAATAAAAACTGCAGCTGCATTTTTGCCAAACTAATTCACTTCAGTTACTTATCAATTTCACTTGTTATTACATCTGTCAAAGGAAGTCTCATCCTTTGCACACAGAACAAGTTTCCACATGTTCTCAGGCATCATATCAGGCCTTTGATGAATCAAAGGCGTCTGCCTGAAATAAAGACGTGCGATGGGTTTATCAGCTTCCTTTAGCAGATGAAGCCAGTTTGTAAAAAAAAGTTCACCAGAAAGAGACACAGCCATAAAATCGGTACATTTTGAATTGTGTATTTGCACCATATCCACCATTTCTGGATATGTGTGTTTCAGGAATTAAATAATAAATTAGACTCATCAATATATACAGTAAATATGGAAAGATAAAGCCGAAAATATGTGTGTGTAAAATATCTGATAAAGATGTCATTAAGAAAAAATGTAAAGACAACTGTACAATTTTATTTTGTATACAGTATGTCTTCACATGCCAAGGCATCTCAGACTGTGGTACAAAGTCAAAATCAATATAATCCTGGAAAGCAAGATGAACTCCACTTCCAATGGCTTTCACTAAAGCCTGCAAAAGGGTTCTTTAGTTTCAGCATTCCTAATGTGAGTGGAAGGGAGTTTCTCTAGTGAGAAGAACATGTAAAAATTCTTATTCCTTTAAATTAGCAGACATACTATTAATAAAGGTTTTCAAATGAAGCGTATAATGGCTCTGAAAAAATCATTTTAAAACATTATTGTGGGAACAAAATTATCAAACATTAAGTCTGAAACATTTTGCCCCAATTTTCCTTAGCCTTTGATAATTTCTCCTGGTAGTTTTGATAGTAGTTAGAAAAATCGCATTCGCATTTCCTCAGCGTTGGTAATATCTTGGTGAATACTGGCCTTAATGCATTAAAAAGACAGATACTGTGTGTCATTTAGTAAAACAGCTATACGTATCTATGCACAACACGGTAACGCCAATCTAAAGAAATAATAAAGAAACTGCACCATGCTTACCAGGTATCCTGATGAAGGACCAGCCGTGTCTAGGGTGCAGGGCTACAACACCCCCCGGCCTACTAGGGAAAAATGCCTGCAGTCGACCCGTCCAGCTGGCCGCCAGCTCAGGGGATCCGTACAGGAAGCACTGCTTGGCCGTGGTGCTTCCTCCTTCCCTGGTCACCCTCCACTCATATTCCGCACTGCGATCATTGCAGTATCGTTCCATGGGCACTGCAGTCACCTGGGCAACAGAACAGCGACATGGGATGAGAAGGGCTACAGAAAACCGCCTGCCTTCATGTGAAACAAGAGGAGTTTTAAACCAGTCACGAAAACTAAAGGGAAAGACCAGAGGGTTTTTCAGCTTTCACCCACATTTCTTTCACGTTAAAGGCAAAGGAGTGCTTCCGGAAAATTATGAATAACAGGTAAAGTGAACAAACTACTACTGGCATATATATGAGTTCGCCTCAAGAAAGCCAACGTTCACTTTAAAATCGAAAACTAAAAAATCTGAAACTAAATCTCCCGGGGCAGTCATACTCAATAAAACTGTCTTTTCCTAGCAATCTGTAAAAGGTCCTGCCAGTGTTTTTCCCTTTTTTCCTTACGACAATCAATTTGTCTTACAGTCATTGATCATTTCTGGTCTGTAACTCACAGAAGTGAAGCCAAACAAAAAGAAAACACTGTTATCTTGTAGAACACACACAATCTGTGATGATGATAAACTGCGAATGAGACCGAACAGATGAATGAGCATAGAGCCTTGGCTCCAGATTGGGTATCTGAGGGGCTACACTGGATTACGTGAATAAAGAGCCTTTGAGATTTCAACAAAACATTTCCCTGCTTGTCAAAAACAGTGAAAACAGGGGCTGTACCCTCAAAGGAAAATTCTCACTAAAAAGATGGGTCGATTTAATTTTCCTACAGCTTGACTGCCATTCACCTGGAAAAGCTGTGTTTGCAGCTCCTAAGCCACAGTCCTCACAAGTCAGGGAACCTTTTAAAGGGGAAACTTCCTAGAATTGAGATCACTTGACAGAGAGTAGCAAAAGGTCAAGGAGACACCTCCTCATGCAGATAGCTCCTAAACAATTGTCTGTTCCTTACAATAATGGGAACTCTGTTACCATGATCTTTCATGATCTGATAGATAACAAGGAGGCTGTCACCATGCTGCAAAGCGGAAATCTCATAAACGGGATCACTCAGTTGAAGGGAACAAAAAATTTAAGAGAGATCTGTCTGTCAAAAGGCACATATAATTCATTCACACAACCTGAATCTTTTAAGCTGCAGGTTGCACTTTAAAGCCTTTTGTGCAAATGTTATGTAAAGAAGTTATTTTATGACTGCAGTTTCCCGATTGACAGTGTTCGTACATAAAACTGCATTTACAATTTTAACTTTTATCATATACTGTAGCTCACAGCACTTATTTAAATGAAAGCAGAGTAAAACAAAAATCAAAATGACATTCCACACGGTTCAGCCCATATATAAATGAAACTTTTTTTAATATTGTGTTGCTTTTAGCCTTATTTATGCTCACCAGCTGTTGGCAAAGTACACCAAATCAGTACATATATTATCTTTAAGTTGAACATCATTTCAAACTGTGGTGATGTGTCCACCTCTGCATTGAATTCCAGCTCATTTCACATTTCAGTACAAAAAAGTCCAACATGCTGAAATGTGTGTGGTGAAACTAAGTGAATGTTGTGTTCAATTGTTGCCTTTAAATTCTAAGTAATTTACAGGCTAACTTGAAATGCCTGATCTTACAGGTATCCTTGTAGGTTAGAACCACATGGACTCAGATCAAGTCTCATGGACTGCTGGGCTAGGTCTCCTCCAGGAATAGCAGGCGACTGTCGGGCCAAAAGTGTGCTGCAGAAAGTTGTCAGCACATCATGAACTTCGACCTCTTTGCAAAACGACAACAGGATTTCCATTATAATAGTTATTTTATAACCAGGAACACTTTTTTTCTTATTCAGACAGTATGACTGGTTTAAATCCCGCGGCCGGCAGAGGAATCCTACTCTGTTGGGCATCTGAGCAAGGCCCTTAACCCCAACTGCTCCAGGGGTGACGTATAAATGACTGACCTGCACTCTAACCCCAAGCTTCTCTGCCTGTCTGTGTGTCTGAGTGTCTCATGGAGAGCAAGCTGGGGTATGCGAAAAGACGCATTCCTAATTCAAGAAATTGTATATGGCCAATAAAGTGATCTTATCTTATCTTCTTACTTCATGCGCAACTATCTTTCAAAGGATTTTGATGAGAAGCAAAAAAATCACCCTTTGTTTTAGTAACAGATTAAATGTTTTTGTAAGGTGTACAAAGCTTTGGTTTTTGGCTCTTGTACAAAGACTTGAAATGAAGCATCTCATCCTCCGCACTCCCACTCCCACCCAGCCTGTAACAACTCCAGCTGCTTTTTATCCAAAAGGCTGTCAGACACAAAGCCACATTTTATCTCTTGCCTGCTGTTCCAGTTCAATTGCACTTGTTTTGGATGGACAGAGCAAGCACAATTTGTCACTGTCACACTTTAGTTGACATTTCCTGCCATTATAGTGAGAAGTTCAGTAGAAATTCACTTTCCTACAAAGTGTCTGCCAAAAGAAATAACCCCTCTTCATGGCCTACATGATCCTGTTGAATTACAGCTGGTGATTTCCTGCAATAATTAATAAAATTAGACATTGCTTCAATGAAGAAATAAATTATACATCTGAAATTGTTTTGACTCCTTTGTTCACTGTGAAAAGAGCAAAGTTTTCGATTCTGGGGCAATCCGAGAATTTTAACAGATTTCCTGTCATTCTATCAATTTCATTACCCTTCCAAATCTATGCTTGGTTGTAGTTACAGTTTGCCAGCTTCATATGAAACGTGTTCCAAAAGTTTCTGTGAAAGTTTTTTTTTCAGTTCTTTCCTTCCACCTTCTCTCCCTGTGTCAATGGTGCTGTTCTCAACAGCTCTATTCCAGCATGCTCAGAAAAAAAGAAACCTACATTCTTTTCTGGAGGACAACAAGAACTACGAAGCCCAACACGAATTGATCACAAAAATAAATGACTTTCTTCATCTGCATTGATGAAATCACCACTGCTCATTGCCCATCACATTTTGCCAGCTGTAAATTAGCTGTTTTGTCTCTGGCACAAGCCGGTAACAGTCAAACCCATTCATTTATAACAAAATCCTTAGCCTACAAACTTTTCAGTTACTGACAGAATAATTTGAATCAGAAAACCAGGAGAAAGACCTTGCCAAAAAAAACGAAGCGGCTGCAAAAAGGAGAAGAATTATGGGGTCTGTTTTGAACTCTGAAAGCCTCACAGCAGGGCTGCCTCCGGCACCTTCTTTTAAATATTATACTCCGGTCAACAGCTGCAACCAGACACCTGCACATGTTTAGAAGATATGGATATAATTGTTCTACAGCATCTAAATCCACCTAAGTCATACGCACAGCCTCATTTTGTGGTTATTAGGGGAAATTAACCTGAACTCCATGCTTTGATCAACACATGTTAGGAACTCCAAGCGATTCCTAAACTAGGTTTTCATCAATATACTGTCTTTAAGCCAGGTGGCTGATAGCAGCCTAGAGTTAATACAGTGCCTAACTGAAAATTATCCCCTATCTTCTTTTTATAGTCTAATAAATGAAATACGGTTAAACTGCAAATACGGTGTAACTACACATACCTATTGCCTGCTGTGGAATAAGCAATCTTATTTCTGAAAGTACATACAATGTTCATGCAAATTCCCATAATGTGTAAATGGGAGCAGCCCATCAAAGACGTGCTCTATTACAGCCCTGCAGTATAAATGATTATCAACAGACCTATCTTTTTTTTTGCATGTGGCAGTTTGTCACTCACTTTCTGGTGGCATCATCCACCACCCAGGTGAGGGGACAGTGTGTACAGTAAGGGACCCTGCCATATGTTCATCACAAGGCCCTACAATAAAACATGTCCTAAAGAAGAATTACCATCCCAGAAAGTAAACACTCATATAAATATTGGTCAGACAAAGCAAACAAAGAAAGTGCGTTACTGATGGCAAAATCCACACAGGAGAAATCTCTGATGACAGCACTCACTTTATAGTACACACTCTTATGATTCAGAATTGCACCATTCCGATAAGGACAGTCTGCGTGTCTAAGAAAAGCTCAAAACATCGCTTTCATGAATTAACAATGGCAAATACGACTGAGAACGTTTGCTTAACATTCTTTGTTAAAAGATCTCTCCCCTATGACATTAACAAACAAAAACCTGTCTTGGTATACATTGTAATAACAGAGTGCAAGTGCTGCAGTTGTTCTTACCCGTGAGACATAGGTGAAAACGAACTTGGGAAGCTCTGTGGCCTGGCAGGGCCTCACGACGGAGGTAGCTGATTTCCTGCGGTGTATCACCACGTCATTGTGGCTCACTACAGTGGGGCTATGGCTGGTGAAGACAAGTTCCTGCAACACAATATACAGCACAGCGAAATCAGAGTGGGCAGTCACTGCATGAGCTCCAGAAAAGCTGAAATTAAACACATTGGAGTTTTTATGGAATTCTCTGCTGTTTGGATCCGTGGAGCTGTTGCAGACCTCTCAGCAATGGGACACCAAGTGATTCTCTTCTCCTTTCTGGCTTTCCTCTTTTTTTTCACATTGGATATACTATGTTAATGGGACTCTGTAGTTCTAATAATGTATATGAACAAATATGCTGTAGTATGATTCATATGTGTTGAAACTGCAAGGGTGGTTTCACAGTTCTGGGTCACAAGTGACCAACGAAACATCAAAGGTGTCTGTTTCCACACAGCCATTTGGTTCCACCTAGTGGCAATTGTGACAAAAACAACCTTACTCAGCATTTAAACTTATGAGAAGTTATTGGCAAATACCAAACTCATCTATTCTAGTAGATTTGTTTTAAAATCAACAATTATTAGAAACATTATCCAATCAAACACATAATAAGTAGGTCAGTACCAAAATGTATTAATTCAATAGACAGGAAACTCTGGGAATTAATCCAAAGTAGACACTGTATTCTCTGTAATTGCTCTTTTATGCAGAAAAAAACATTCCAGAGCTATACATTCCTAGTCCAACAGGTTAACAGCTTTATATAAAATCCATGCTTGTATTGATGGAATGAGGTGCTTCACTCATACAATAGATAAGAAAACAGATTGAATATTGTGGCTAAAAGAAATGCTGTATACAAATTCTAGAGGACAAAAAACCTTAGCTCTTTGTGATGAGCAGGTGCTGCCTGTAATATCATCACACATCATTTGCAGGGAAAAGACACTGAACGTGATGAATGGGGCTGTCAAAACTGCAGCACATGCTGTGTTGTCAGCTGTTTTGCAAGTGAGACTGGAAACAGTCTGAGGAGCCAAGACTTTTCTGTCTTCCCAAACTGAGAACAGAGATGTGGAAACTGCACAGATCTCAGGGGGGACTACTCTTCAACACATGGAGGCTGCTGAGTCAGGCTGAAACACAAGGGCAGCAGCACAGCCTGCCAGTGTAGCCAGTTTCTGGCAGAGCTGCAGCTCATCAAACATCCTTTTTACTATTTCCATTAACATTCTCCAAGAAGGAAAATAAGGGACCTACATTTCTAGACAGAAATAAAAAGGAAATAAGGAAGCCGATCTCTGCCAGAAACAATATAGTCCCTGCACGCGAGTCCAAATGTGTGTCCAGTGTTCCATCTGTTTGAGCCTAAGCTCACTACTCAGTGTGGAAAAGACAAATAAAGGCAAAGTTAAGATTTTACATAGAACATGAATAAAAACATACGTATACATTCCTGGCAACTGCTTGTTCACTTATGGTAATGATTTAATGACTGACCAAACAAAAGCAAAATATTGACTGTGCTAATGTGCACACTGCTTTCAATACAAAAAAGAAAAAAGCTCATATTTTAACAATCTCAGAGCCCTACCTTGTTTTAGAATGCCCTGGAGTAATGAATGCAATCTTTAAACTTTTTCATTAAACGGTGATTTATTCAGTACAGAATTCTAGTCATGAGGCACCCCTGACAGTGCTGCCAGATTTCAGTGTTTGAATAGTCAGGTTACTGCTGCCCTCCCCAGAACATGCTTGTGTAACGCTGCCTGAGTCGAGGAGCTGCTGCATAGGAAAACTGAGGTGCGAGGTGTGTTTGAACAGTATCAAAAGCGTGACAGAACACGCCTCACTGAAGCTAGGTGACGCTCTTCCTGAGGAATTAAGAGATTAATAAAACAGATTAGAGTCTTACCCTTTTGTTTGGCAATTAAATACCCCTGGTAAGTCTCCTAAATTACCTTTCCAGATAAACCCCAAACCCCTTTAAATAGAGGTCATACTGATATTTTACATAATCGTTTGCAATCTTGTGGATTTTATGGATGTTGTTTTTCTATAAGAACATTAATTACATGAATGAATCTCTTACACTAATAACCATAATGTCTTGCCACATACTGCACGGTAACTAAGAGCTGAATTAAATTCTTATACTAATACAACCCCCCGCTTGACAAAAAGCCATACCTACATCCTTGCATGTGAATTTGTACCTTATTTAATAGTAATTCTATGGAAAAAATGAATGAAACAAAAGGGAATTTAGAATGTTTCAAGTCATCACACTCCCTGGAACACAATATATTTTGAATATGAGTGCGTTTCTCTGGGGTGATGTGTATGTTAGACGAAAGTTTGTTCAGTACACGGAATTTGAATATATTGACGTTACTAATGGTTCTTTTTAAAAAGCTGAATTTGATTTATAATGTCATTTCCACGTTCTCAAGATCTCTTTCTTAAGCTCAGCAGTAAAGCTCTGCAGCTTGAACTGTGTGGGACGATACAAATTTAAACACAAACATCAACAGACTGTGTTGGTGAGTGTAGATAAACTAGTCACTCTCCAAACTGTTCCAGGAGAAAATGCCATTTGAACAGTTTCCCTAGTTTCCATGTTCTAATTTACACTGAATTAATACAATTTGCAGCAAGCTTTATCCTATGAGTTTTTTTTAACCCTACATACATTCCTAACCAGTAGACCGCAACAGAATCATAAAAGGCTGTGCTAACTATTTTAAAGAAAAAAGCCACAGGAAAAATATGTGGGCGCTAGGAGGCAATACTGGATAAGAATGGAGTAGAAAGCAAGTTTAATATTTTTTACCAATTTGTGTTTACCAGTGTCTGTGAGCTACAAAAAAGAGCTGTTAGCCAAACTTCAGTCTACCTGCCAAATAATAAATTCAAAACATGGCAGTTGATGACTTTCTCTTTGTCAGCGGCTTGCCATAATTATAGGGGAACTGCAACGCTATTTTTATATTTCACGGTTATAATAATAATAATAATAATAATAATAATAAGAATAATAATAATTACTTACACTTATATAGCGCTTTTCTGGACACTCCACTCAAAGTGCTTTACAGGTAATTGGGACTCCCCTCCACCACCACCAATGTGCAGCCCCACCTGGATTGTTCTATGTTAATGAGAGCACACAGTCTCTAGCCACTGGAAAGCTATCCCAAACTGCACTGCTTTTATTTTGCACATACTGTGGCAGCTGTTGAGCCATCCCAGCCTGCACTGTTCTTGCTCTCCACAGTTAGCTAAACTTAAGCCTTGCCAGACTGCACTACTCCTTTTCTGGTGGTTCTGTTTCAGATGGAAGGTATTGGAAAGACAGCCAATCCCACTATTACACATTAGAAGCCACCGGCTACGCTCTGCTGACGTACCTGAGGCTGAAGAAAATGGATACAGCTGCCCGCAT